CCTGGGCGAAATGGCTTAATCTAAAACTATAAGAAAGAGGGCTCTATTATACAACTACAACAACAACATGAGGTCTACCTAAACCCCAAGACCAATAAACCTTATACAGTTATAACCCCTGCCATAAGGTCCATAAACCTCAAACCAGTTATAAGTACAGATATACATTACTTACACAATGTGGAAATCACTCACTTTATACAAAACAAACCTGAGGTTTACCTAATAAACCTCGTTACAATTAGCATAATTTATTCACAAGTGTACTCTCCATTAAGTTCATAATATACCTCAAACTTCTCCTGCTATTTATACAATTAAAACGCCCTTGTTTTTTTTTGACATAAAAATAAACTTCAACTAGTAGCAAAACCTTTAGTGATTCTCAACACTTCAAACTTCAAAATACACTGAAGAAATAAGTTAACTTTAACCTGTAACACAAGCAAAACATATTTATAAACTGCTTTTCCTTGCTAGTCATAGACAAAAGGTAGAAGCCAAAAAAACAACTAAGTGCTGTCTTCTGCAACTGTGAGATACTCATTAGCATCGACAGGTCTCAGGTATGCCTGATGGTGGATTTCTTCTCGAATCAGCCTGCCATCGAGGAAGGTTTTGCGGAAGATCTTCTCTTCTATGGTTGCAACCTTCATCCTCTTCGCTGGTTTCCCTTCCTCGTCTCTGTCAGTCTTCTCCTCCTAAACACAATTTAAAGTTTCCCCAAATCCTCCCTATATCGTGCCGGGAGCCGGTGTTCCCTCTGAGGGTACCTTCTGGGAGCTTCTGTCGGGCCATTCCCCTCGGCCTTGTATCCTGAAGGACCAATCGTTTGAGCCTCAGGAGGTTCCACACTTCTTCCATGAACCTTACTCCCTCCATCATGTACAAGCTCTACGCCAATAGATTGGGGACCCCTTGCTATTTCCTGCATCAAGGGTTCCTCAATCACCTTCGGCTCATATCGCCATGGTTTTAGGGTCTCCCCAGTGTATGGTTTGAGCCTGTCTCCATGAAGTACAAAAGCCTTACTTCCACGCTTCCGTTGAATCCTGTAAGTTACATCAGAGAGTTTCTTGACCACCAGAAATGGTCCATCCCAACGAAAATCTAACTTCGGGGACCTCCCTTTCTTCTTGGACTTATTGAAAAGCCAGACAAACTGACCTTCCGCCAGCCCTCCTCCATGCACCTTGCGGTCGTAGTTCCGCTTTTGATGCCTGGCACTTTGTTTGAGGCACTCTCTAGCTCTGCTATGAGCCTCCTGCAGATTCTGCCTCAACCCTCGTGCAAAATCTGTTTTTACCGGGT